TGAATTTCTCTACAAACTGAGCTACACAAAAGGTCTTCACTGGTGGGACCAGTCATCAAAGACATACAAAACAAGCATTCGAGGGCAGAAACAGCTCTAAAATACTCCTTTCGTAATTTTTTCTGTCATAATGAAAAAATATACATTTTTGAGAAATATACTGTTAGATAGCCCATGAAATTCTCTACAAACTGAGCTACACAAAAGGTCTTCACTGGAACTTCTCCATCCTGTTATTTATGACACATTTTGATAAAACTCATCTAAAACAAAGTTTGGTTACTAAAGAAGTTGAAAATACTTCCAGCAGAATAACTTTTTTCCGTATAGCTAAAATACATGAAGGTTTAAGGGTACCCTCCCCTCTTTTTGAGCTTTCCGTAGAAATGCTGTGAAATAAAAACTAAAAGTCGTCGGTGCTTCATATTTTCAGAACTGATTCGAACCTCAATGAAGCACTTTTTCGTTTTTGTTTCAAGTTTTCAACTATTGCCGTTCACCAGTTTTTCAGAAAACTCGGTTTGTCATTGTGCCACATTACGATCCCTCTGAAATTTCAAAATTTTACCAGAGGTACTCAAGGTCATTCCACAGAGCTTTTTTTTGTGAAATTTTTTGAGACTTTTCCTGGTCGAGTTATAGAAAAAATACTGAAAAACGTCTGAAAAACCAAGTTTTTCGATTTTATAAACCCTATAACTCGGTAAAGAAAAGTCTAAACTAAAATTCCAGAAAAATAGCTCTGCAATAGTGTCTTGAGTACCCCTGGTAAAATTTTTAACTCAATCAGATGAAATTTAAGGGGGTTCGTAATGTGGTACAATGAAGCCCGGTAGCAAAAAAATAGTTTTTGACAAAAAAACGCATTTTCTACACAGGCCACTTTTTTCAGAGCATTTGCCGCGATGCTTATATCTCCGCGAAAACTCATAAGAAAATTCTGTGAAACGTCTCAGTATGAAGAAAACACTTTTTTTCTATCAGACTATGTCGTAAAAAATCTCATACAATTCTTAGGGAGATCGTGAATATATTGAGCTCATATTTTTAAAAGTTTATTTAAAAAGCAACGCTCGTTTTATTTATGTAGAAACAAAAGAAAGAAATCAAAATTGCTTACTTGAAAACGTTCAGAAATATCGGTTTCATTACATATCACGTTCTGTTTACAAGAAACATGTACTTCGATTTGTAAAATTTAGTGCATTACATAGCCTTTGATAACGAGAAGTGTGCGAAGGCATGTTTCATAACGCGAACCATGTTACTCCGGGAGTTGAGTTCAGACAACCATAAAAATCATGATTTTAATTCGAATTCATAAAAGGCATAATGGACGACAAAGATCATTTTGCTCCAGATTAATATAATATGCGAAAGTTCTGAATAATGTAATTAGGCTGTGTTAGTGTTGATGTCTAAAGATCAGTGCCCATTGTGATCGAATAATACACAGAAAGCCAACAATATTAGCTAAATTATGATATAACTGGCTCGGTTCGTTAAGAATTGGATTTTTGCCATACTCTGTGTCGGGTGGTAGACATGTAATATGTCCCCAATCCTCAGCTGTTGGATATAAATATTGTTTTGTCGGTTGTTTTGATGCACACCACAGGCACATACCAACAATCAAGCCAATAAAAATGAAATCAATTATACAATAAATAATTCTTCGTGTTCGAGCACTACCACCACCACTATCGGCATGAGGAAGCAGAGGAATAGCTGCATTACCATCGTCGGCTCGATGATGGTTTGTTATTAACTCCAGTAACAAAAATATCCATGAAAGTACAGAAAGTAAAGCATCCGTACCAGACACCCAATAGACCATGACTTTCTTTGAATGATGCGGTAAAAAGCCGATTGTTAGCCCAATATTTGTTATTAGCATTAAGAAAACGAAAAAAATATAAAAACGTTTTTACTCTCGGTCGTGGTTTAATGGATATTCGAAAAAATAATACCGTAATCGACTATAAATATGACGAATTTCAACACCAATAATAATAGCAGCCAAAATATCAACTAGTTCAACGTTATTTATGTGTTTATCCGACGCCATTAATAAACCAACAGTTGATAGAGGAATTTGACAGCACAGCCAATGAATATCAAATATATAACGATCAATAATCCATCGAACATACCTATTGATCAACTGTTGATTACCTCTTCGACAGAATTGAAAAAATTTTATTATTACCGAAAACGATAACAATCCTAATGGAAAATAGAGATGACAAATTAATATAATTTCCATAATATCAATTCTTAATGGTAGAAAATGTTTTTCAATACAAATATTGCGTAACGATGGAATTAATAAACCGTTTGAACAATCTTCGTGTTCAGTGAGAATTTTAAATGTACATGGATCTTGTTCAATACATCGAGAAATGACGCTATTTTTGTTGGAAGTAGTAGTGAGTGGTAATATTTGACACCAACCGCATGGTTCATAAAGCTTACTTTTAGTAAGAAGGCATTCAGGTAATGATAAATATTTAGTACAATTATTACTTGAAATAGGCATTTTTTCTAAAAATGATAGACACTTACGATGAAATATACATATATGTATATAGTTTATTCTACTATAGCTGTAAAATTCCAACAAACAAAAAACATTCAATGTTGGAAATAACCAACTTTTCCTCTGTTTACGCTCAATTCATATGTTAAAAAAGAAGAGAAGAATAAGAAAAATTAATAAAAGTAAAGTTATGTTTTTGTTGTATGGCCTTCAACGTTCTTTTTTAAGTATTTGATTAATGTACTGCTATCGTTGAAATAAAAATTCGTCACTACCCTATCATGACCACAAAAACAGAGCATGAAAAAGCTTAATGCGAGAGCAGGCATTTTCTATATGTTTTCGGACAAATTTTAGATATGATATCTTTGCGTTATTTCTATTCATTAATATGTTATATTTCTGTGGTGATCGGCAGATCAACGTGGACAGTTTGTTGCTCTTCCATATAAATTTAGCAACGAATTAAATCATCATTTTCTTTAGGTACAGATCAACACTGTTGATTTACAATGGTCAAATTGTGGTTCTCCAGCAGATCCTTTTCAATTATTATCACTAGAAATGTATCCAAACCCAATTTATCTACCAGGCAATTTTACGGTTGGTTTTTCGTTTAGTTTACAGAAACAATTATCTATACCCATCACGGTATGCAGTTTGTGTTTTAAACCGTCATGTTCATATTTTAAACATTTTGTTAATTGTTTAGGTATCACTAAGTCTATACCGAAAATTTCTTGGAATTTTTTTGCCTATACCATGTATTAGCGGCTTTGGTTCATGTACATATGATAATTTTTGCCAATGGTGGTCGAAAAATTGTCCGAGAACAGAACACGGGAATTTACCATGTATATGTCCAATACCTGTCGTAAGCTTGTTGCTATTTTCAGTTCATAATTTCTCTTTGTACTCTCCCGTTTACTCTGTAAAAAGAGAAGGTAGAATTTGCTGGAATTTTGTCAGCCTATGGTTACTCGCCCAGGAAAGGTTTACGAACGGCAATTCAACTCCTTTTAACGGGAAAAAAATTTGTACCCGATTGTGTACTCACGTCAGATATTTGTTATGTCAGTCGTCACTGACATTCTTTCCTCTTCCTCTTTTCTGTTCTGATGACAACAAAGAATGTTGACTGAGTCAACATTCTTTCTTCATCTGTTTTCATCTCTCATGACCACGAAGAATG